ATATATAACAATTTTTCAACATTTATATTAATGTGTAGATCTATACGTATGCGACTAATCAAATAGTAAGTACCCAGAACAGCACTTTTGCGATCGGGGAGGGGGGGGGATTCTCTCTCATTTATTCTGAGACTAAACAAAGAAGGAGGGCGGCTGCTAGAGGTGTGGTCCGCGTCTAAGGGGTGATAGCTATACGTTCATACTATCCGAGAATCTGGGTGGTAGTCAGAAACAAAAAGATAGACATACAACGCTACGCACCAACACACAGTTAATAGTAATATTGTAGACTCCCATTATATCTACCAAGTGGCCTGCTCTCTTCTCAGTGGCTAGCCTTTAGGCTACACAGCGACTGTCCGTGTTCCCTCCCACAAGCATCAAGCACCCCAAGAGCGATGCTCGCGCTTCCTTCGCTCGTGTACACGTCTCTACTCTCTTCTTCGTTCGTTTCAAGAGGGCCGATGGGTGTGAGTGTGAGTGTGAGTGTGTGTGTGTGATGTATACAGTGGTGTGTGCTGTGAATGAAGCATCAGGTCCTACGTGTGAGTATTGCGTTAGATTCTATGCTTGAAAGCCATTGAGTGTAAGCACAACACAAATTGTATTACCCTACTGTATGTATTTGTTTTGAGTTGAAAAATCGAGATTTTACAGGATAGTTGGGCCAGCATTTTATTTGATGAAGATGAGCAAGGATTTGCTTACTTGTAAGTGAGCTGTAAGTTGTATGTGTTCTGTCTGCGATGAGGATGGCGAGTTGTGAAGGAGTTCCCCCTTGTTAAAAGTTATCCTGATTGCTGAAGGCTACGTGTCAGTGGTCACAAGCGAACGGTAAGTTCACTTTGAGAACTTGGAGAACTTTATGTTGAATTTGTTTGAAGTGAAAATCACAAAGGGTGAGAAAAAAGTACTATTTCTACAATTTAGCAGATAATTTTGTTGCGGTCCAGCGTACAGATTTGGAAGGGTTTTGATGGACTCTCCATCTCTGTTTATCTTGATCGGAGGGAGCTTATTTTGATTTGAATCCCCCCCCAAAAAAAAATACCCACAAAAAAAACAACAACAACACATCAACAACAACAATGTAATGTAACAACATACAAACAACCCCAGCTAAACATACTAAAAACCACAACGAAACAACACTGATGGTACCTTTCCAATGTTGTATTGAATTATATTTGTTGTAAGCCTTGATGACAGTTGTATAGTATACATTCAGTCTGTGATGATATTATGTGTTGTCTTATTGTACTCCCTTCGCCTAAGTGCAACATAAATTACAGAAATTTTGTCAAACTGATTCTAATATTTTTTATATAATACAGAAAACAGCTTTACCTGTATTGGGCACATTCATTTTTTATTTTTTTTGCTCGAGACACCTGGATTTGTAGGCGGACTCTGTAGTGTACGTAGGAAGCTATATGTAGGTGTACTCTGTAGTGTACGTAGGAGGCTATATGTAGGTGTACTCTGTAGTGTACGAAGGAGGCTATATGTAGGTGTACTCTGTAGTGTACGTAGGAGGCTATATGTAGGCGTACTCTGTAGTGTACGTAGGAGGCTATATGTAGGCACCATTTGCCTTTGCACAGAGAATAATTTCACTGCTGACTTCTTGATCAAACTTAATATTAGCCTACTATAATTTGTATTATGAGATTCTCACCAGGTCAATCAAATCTCAGTAATCTTAATTAATAAAAACCAAAGACTTCCTTATACCCTCAATGTAGGGCTGACCTGTGAAATAATAGCCCAGTGGGTATCTAGCTGATTGTATGCTATTCTGTACAATGAAAATCAAATACAATTTGCATTTGGTGATTTGTTTCTGGATGCTCAATATGCACTAAGAAACGTTTTCCACCATTGACTTCGAGATTACAGAATTATGAAAGGGCTACACAGCAAACTTTTGAAAGACATCATATATTTATATCAAAGTATGAGATTCTGGTGTTTACAACTCTCTCCACATGGCTAATGACATCCTCCTTTAGTTATAGCTTCAGCAGGTAGATTTATATACGTAATTTTGAGTCAGAAAGACAGATTAACTGGAAAATGAAAAAGATATCTTGACTTCTTTCTCTACATCCAGCTGATGGTCATAGAGGAGGAATAATCCAGAATCTGTGTGACAGGTGATAGTGGTCACCATGGGAATGTACCACAACAGAAGTATATGGTGTACAGGCGGTGGTGTGTTGTGTATCGCCAGCTTCCTGTTCGGCATCTTCCCCAGCTTGCCGATCAGTGTGGCAAAGGCTGTGGATGTGACATTTATTCCGAAGAACATTTTGATCTTTGGCGGTAAGTAGTCTCATAATACTAGAAGACCTCACAGAGATTTTTTTAACTCACTGTTAACATTCTTTTTAAAATTTTTAATTTTTACCATTCCAAGTTACTTTGTAATCATGAGTTCAGGTCTTATCTTTTGGTGGACAAATTCCTGTTTTAATAATTTGGTATGTAAAGAAATGGGGTTCGACAGAACAAAAATTCCATAAGATTGAGGAAAAAACAACTTTGTGGGTAGTAGGCCCGACTGGTAAAAAAGCATTGGCAAAGCAAAAGGAGATAAAGTGTAATATATATATGTTAGTGGAATAAATGGAGTTTGTTTCCTTGACAAAATTAGTTCTCATTTTGTGTGTATTTATTTTGTTTATTTAATTACTCTTCACCTGCACTACATTATTCATAGTAAATCAGTATTATATATGGGCTCAGACTTCATGAAGAAGTGCATAAATGTGGAATGAACGTGACACTGAAATTTTGATATTTGTCCTTCACTTTCTCCCTGGTAAAGGAAATATCATCAGATGCACTCTATTATTATAAAATGTTCAGCTGGATACCCTGAGACTTTTGTGAAGATTGCGGATGACGAAGAAGATTATAAACCTGAAACTACCACATTTTACTGACTCAATGTTTTAATTTCTGTTCAGGAAATGGTTTCATCGGAAGCAGCACTGCGGAGCGCCTCATCGCTGCAGGTCATAAACTGACCTTGGTCAATCGCGGCAACTGGTACTGGGACACAGGGTTCTACGTTCAGCCGCACGTGCAGCACATCATGTGTGACAGGATGCAAGCGGTGAGTTATTTCACAAAACCCAACTCATGCAAGGTACAAGAACGGGATGGAAAATTTCGGCTCAGGGGATAGGAATTTTTGTAGATTTTTGAAAGAGGAAGAAATAATAAGTTCCAAAACTGACAGCCTAAATTTGTACTTTGGACAAAAAAGTCATCTTCAGGCTCATACTTTGCAATAGTTATGCTCAGTTTTTGTCTCAGAAAAGGGAAGAAAGAGAAGTAGACTTATACCTTGTGTACTCTGACAATAACATTAATTCTTTTGATTTAGGCGAGAACAGACAGATTTTAAAAAATTAATGGGGCTGTTTGTTTTTCAAGGTCATGAGTAAAATTAGTCGTATTGTGCCAAAATTGTAGCTTTTGCCCCATCCATGAAAAGAAAATGTAGCTGTCCTGACTCAACTTGATGGAACCAATTTGGAGTGTGTACTGGGTATTAAACTGCAGTTCACTGCGAGTCCACTTGATGATGGCTACTCTTTGCCAGAGATGGATGAGTTCTGCAGTAATATATTGATAAGAGGTAGTTAAATAGTAAACCACTATAAGATTGCCTCTTGTATAAATTTGAATGGCATCATAATTCTTTTTGTCAGTTCAAATTTTCATTTGAATTATTGGATACCGCGCTTTGTTCTGCATATTTTATTCTGTTAATTTTTTTAAACCTAAATTGGGGGATGTATGATTAATTGGAAACCGAAAATATATGTTATGACGCAATGGAATCTGGCGCTTGTCAATTTCTGGGCAAAAGAAGTTATTGGTACCATCTTAAAGCTTGTTCATAATTTGTCTTGCTTTTAATATACAAATATCTGAGATCGGTAAACTCCAAAGACTAAGTGTCCTTGGAAACTGCAAATTTATATTTTTTTGTGGCTTTGATTAACATTTTTCAATAAAATCTATTCAGAAATGTGTTTTTAAATGGATGTAAAATATGTTGAGCAAAAAAAAAGAAAATTCGAACAAAATTGCCCAACAGCCAGGAAAATGCTGGTTTCTTCGATTTCATTATTTTGACGAGCACCTGATTTCACCACAATGCCTCACATATGTAGATGATGTTGATGTTTTGGCTAACTTGTGACCTCCCCATCTAGGCCAGCAAATGCTCTGGTTTGGTCGACTTTGTGTACTACAGTGACAAGATCGACGCCGTGGTCGACTTTAGCGCCTACCACCCTCAGTCAGTGGCAGATACTCTCAGCGCGCTGGGCGGGAAAGTCCGGCTCTACATATACATCAGCACCGACTCTGTGTATGAGGTAAGGTCTGAAATTTCTTTATGTTCTGTCACACTCTATGGAACATTACAGCAACTGCAGCAAACCTGCACTTATCACTTCTTGGTAATGGACAGAAGGGCGAGGGCACAGCTGTTGCGGGATTGATAACAACAACAACAACAACAGCAACTTTATATTCTTACAGGGGATGCTCTGGACACAGTTTTAATTATTTGTCGTTGTACACACTTAGAAGGAAATATTGGCCCAACTCAAGGCAGGGAGATCCAAAACCTACGGGAGCCTGGAGGACCTGACTGTGACGAACCGTAGCATTCGCACCAGAGAAAGGGATGTCCATTTAAAGATGAACAAGAAGCTTTGTATTGACAGTGTTTTTCTTTTATTTTAAAATCATATTGAAAACAAACTATTCTATGGCATTTCAATTTGAAATGTCAGCAAAACTTTTAATTTGATCGCTGGCATCACATGTGTAATCCTTTAGTCTTTTAGGGTTAAGATCGTAGCAGTAATTGAAGAATAACTTGAGTAGTTTCTGAAACTTTAATTCTTTAGACCGGATATTTTTTTAAATGAGAGGAGCTATATATGAGAATGATACTGAAAAAGTTTAAGCTTTCTATAATTTGACTGCTGGTAATTACTCGACGTGGGCCATTATCTTCAAGCCTCTTTCAGAAAAATCCCAAGCATTCACTTTTCATGTTGAGATCCTTTTTCAGGAACCACTCTTAGTATCATATTTTTAGCTCTCCAGGTAGAATTTTGGGTTAAGGGTTAAGAATAGTGTATGTTACATTTTGTTTTTATTTCGTGCTGCAGACTTGTTTGTACCCACCCTTTAAATAATGAAATAACTTCTTTTTTTAGGTGTCTGCCAAGAACCATACAGAACCTTCACTGGAAAGTGATGCAGTTCGACCATCTTCAGAGGAGAAGCAGAAAGAATTTGCCGCCCAGGAGAGCTACGGTCACCGCAAACTTGAGTGCGAAGAAATTCTCGCCGACTACAGACAGAACAAGTACGGTCCTCCGTATGTCTCACTCCGACTCCCCGATGTGTTCGGGCAACGCGACAACACCTACAGATGGTGGATTTATCAGCTGTGGATGAAACTACGCCCGTATCTCGAGAAAGACATTGTTGTCCCTTCAGAGCTGGAGAAGAAGCCGATCAGTTTAGTGTACGTCAACGACGTTGCAGACTTGATCACCCAACTTGTGGAGCATGTCCCTCCCGAGGCCATCGATCAGGCCTTCAATTTGGCATTGGAGGAAACTCCGAGTCTCATGGAAATTCTACAAGACATTAGGAGTGAACTGAACCTGCCAGACTTGAAAATTGTCCTGGACAACAAACCGGATACTATCCGTCTGTTTCCATCAGTTCATCAAGGCCCTGTGGATATATCCAAGGCTCGGAAGGTCTTGAACTGGCAACCGACGGAGTGGAAAAAAGCTGTTAAGGAAACTGTGAAGTTCTACGAGTCAGCGATCCGCACAGTGCATTTTGATAAGGCAAGAAAGGAAATGATTCGTACAATGCAGACATACTTTACGTCAAAACCATACAATGTTATTCGAGGTCTCCGAGACATTTATGGACTGAATTATCCTGAGCCGAGGGATGAACTGTAAAATAGGCTCGTACGATATTCGTAAAGCAAATGAAGTGCTTTCTGGTAGTTAGTGTTAGAGCCCACCGAAAGTTTCAAAAGTGACAGCGTTACAGGGCACTGAACAAAAGAAATTAAATTCAACCACATGTACCTGATCGAGTCAATAATGTCTAATAATTTGTTGGTCCTTTTTATAAGCCTTGGAGCCCAAAACAGTTGACTTGGTTCAATTGTGAGCTTGACAGAGTTGGATTTGAAATCACTTTCTTTGGGGGGGAGTTTCTGTAAGAAATATATGAAAGTTGAGCTCAAATTCAGTATCTTTTTACATTTCTAAAGCTTGGTTTGATTTTGATACATGATGGTGTGCTATGGATTACATTGTCCATATTTTTTATGTTTGCCGTGTCAAAGTGAAGTTTTTACTTGTAAACCTAAAATAATATGCTCTCATTTGAAAAAACTTTAAAGTTATCAGCCCTAGATGTTATATCAGTGCCTCTCCTTTAGACTATGTAGTTTCAAAACAACTCATTGTATGAAAAATAGTTTTAAAAATAGTAACATGTTAAGACACGAGGATTCAATGGTCACTGATTAGTCACTTTTGATTCATCTGGTAAAAGGCTCATTGGTGCAATACAAGATTGTAAGAGCTGATCTCAGTAAGCCACTAGTAGCTGAGAAGGACAATACCAAACAATGCCCAAACTAATATTTCTCTTGTGTAATTTGTAGACTGCATAAGTGAAATTAGGCATTAGACTCTATCTCTATGCACTTACACTTGAATGGCTATTTCTCTGTTAAGCAACTTATATGAAGCATAGAGACAGCACTTTTTAGGGTGAGGGTTCACATCTTATGCTCCTACATCAAGATAAAGAGATATTTTTTACTGTCTTCTGTGAATATGGCGAATTTCTGACTTTTTTGGTGTTTTTTATTTTCATTTTTGACGGACTGGTTCCCAAGTTGGCATGATGAAACAATAACTATAACTAGTATAACATCGCTGACAACATACATGATCTTTCTGATGAAACAAAATACTTATACTATTCTATAGTTTCATCAGTTAATATTCCGTCCTACATACTGTATACTTTCACCAGTATGAACCATGGCATTTGGTTCTTTCAACAGGAATTTGATGTCCCATTGCCTTTTTTGATGAATGAAAGGATGTGTGTCTTTTTATTTGTACTCTGTACATTTTGTTTGAGTGTGTGCTTATGTGTGAATATTTTCTTCATCTTCAAATGTGGCTAAAATCACTGTTCTAAATTCTCTCAAAAGTGGGAACAAAAATTTTGGATGGCAGCGCCTTATGTCTCAGGCAATGATCATCTTAGATGCACAATTAAGATTAGGAATAAAATCTCATACTCAGTCACATTGTTTGTTTGTGTAAAGAGGAGCAGAAGGACACAGTAAGTCATTTTGAGCAAGAAAAAAAGCAAAACAGACAAGACAGTGGGAAAGAAAAAAATTATAAATGACTTGCAACAAGTAATGCCCCCTAACCACAAATGATCACTCTTTTTGTGAGAAATGCACTCATCTCCTCAATAACTTTTGATATTCAGAACGATAGAGAAGAAGAACAATGTGAGAAAGCATTGGTTTCAACTAACCAACATTCTACTCTTTTCTGCACTTCCTTTGTGAGGGTCACATTCTTTTCTTTCACATGCTACATAATATGGTAAAAGTAAAATATAATGGGTTCTACATCCCTCTATTATGAGGCAGACAGAACCTCCAACTTCAACCATCCATCTCAGATTGGAAGGGTCAAGTGGGTGAAAAATCTTTGAAACTGCAAAAACAGGGCAAGTTTTTAAAATCTCCATTGGTGAAGGGTGCTGATAAAATGAGGTACTTCTCAGATTCAAGCCTCATGGAAATAGATACAATAATATAGGTGAGTTTTTTTTACCATTTATAAGCATGAAATAATAAAAGGCATTTTATAGTTTATGGCATCAATAGAAAATCAACAAATTTGACCCTGGTATCGATTTTTTGCCAATATCTCCGTTTGTGGATTACGAGAAGTAACTCATTTAGTCAGCATGCCTCACATTTGTGGTTTGAGCTATGGTCATCTGCCCTGTTGTCCAGCATTGATGCCAACAGCTATCGGTGTGCTGCATTAGTACACTTATAATGAAAGAAAGTCTTTGTAGTTGTTGAAAAAATGAATTTCTTGTGAAACTTGTTGATTTTAATGATTTTGCTGACGGTGCTAACATTTTAATTCTCATATATATTATATATACGTATGTATATAAACACATGTGTCAGTGGTGCTGCTATTATTTTGTGGAATTGAGTTTTCTTTGTACATTCTTCACTGATGGACAATTGTGTCACCGATGTTTTATAAACTATTTTTCATCCCCACCCAGGCAAGGAATTTGTATTATCTGTTGTCACTTTGGTGATATAATGCTTTTGGATGAACTTAGAAAAAAACAAATTAATAAAAAAAGCTTTTGTCTTTATCCCATGATTTGTTTTTGTTTCTGCACATCATGCATAGTTTGATGATAGCCATGAATCATTGAATTACCGGTACTTAAATTTAGTCTGGACTTGAAGGAAGAAGCTGTGTTCAAAGGGTCTAAACCTCAAATAACTTAAATAATCAATTATTATTATATTGGTAATATTACTTTGCAGAACAAAAGGTGGAATTTGTACAAAAGTTTTTATTCGCAGGTCAATCCACAGCATGGTTGACCATTTCATAAACAGGAGCAACAGGAGGTCAGATTCAAAACACAAAGACATACACATTCAACATATTTTTAAAAAATCAACCATATAGTCATCAGAAAAGCATGTATTTTGACATTTTAAAACAGTAACAAAAAACATCAGTCAAGCTTCCTGATAAATACCCCTTTTGTGTCGGTGCACTCCTTCAAGACAAACCTCATAAAGGTAAAACACTTTTTCACCTGTAACACTTTTGTTTGTTTTGGTAAGTGTTTTTACGGCGCTCGCAACTGCATAAGGTCATATGAGCGCGCGGGACACACCTAATATTTTCAGTTGGTAGGAAATTTTGAATTTTGCGCGGGTGGCAGCCGAAGCCTACTCTTATCGATTTTAGACCACCAAGGGATCTTTAACGTGCGCAGATTGCACACGGGCCCTCCGAGATTTTTTGCCCTTGTCCGAGAAGGCTAGGTGTACATCTTTCCTACCAGAAGATCAGGGGTGAGGCAGAAAGACAGCAGTTAGGAGGAGCCAAGGAGTAGCAGTAGAAAGGCTGCAGAAAGAGTCAGGAGCCCAGAGGAGGGGGCAAAGGACGTGAGGGGGTGGGGGCAGAAAGTGGAAACGAAAGCAGAAAACAGAACATTGCTAGAGAGCAGGAAAGGAGGTGAAAGGAGACAATTTTAGAGAAAAAAATTTTTTGGTCCCTTCCCGGATTCGAACCTGGGACCTTTGAATGAGAGGCCAACACCTTAACCTCTAGGCCACGAGAGCCCCCTGTAACACTTTGATACGGATAAAAGGGGGACTCCTAGACTGAACAAAATTTACTGATACCAGTAAACACAAAAATATGAATATTATATAAATCTTCATTAGATTTTAACAGAGTGTGAAGTCATCAATATTTTCAGAAACACAGAATAAATTTTCTTCCAGAACCCCCCCCCCTCCCCCATGATCCGCGTACGAGAAACAACAACGAACTGCATGGAAGTTTCTTACTTTCAGTTGTTCAGTCCGTTGGACAAATAACCCGTTTATTCGCACTAAAAGTGGTGAATATACACAAACCACAAAGAACTAGCTTGTCGATATTCTGTTTTTAAACAACTGAGGCTTTGCAAGCATTTTTAAACTGCTGGGTTTACTTTATAGTCAATTATAGTTGAACCAGCATATGTGGTCCCCAGCGTGAATTTTACCGGACCGCGTATGCTGCGGGAGTGATGCTCGGTGCGCTAAAGTGCCTTTATCCAGGACACAACGTGGGCCCCAGATGGGATTTGAACCAGCGACCTTACGGTTGCGAGTCCAAGAGCCTAACCGCTAGGCCAATAATGCAAATTTCAAGTTTCAAGGAAAATATTTACAAAAATCATGATTTCAGGCAAAATTCCTGAAGTTGTTCATTTCTGAATCACCCAGGACAAATTCATGACTGATGTACACCAGTGTCTTTATTTTCTCAAGCAGCAATAACGACAGTCAGTTACAAGCCCTATGATAATCAAATTTCTCACTTGACTCATAACCCTCGTCTATTACTTCAATAATATATTACATTCACATTTGCCCCTCTCACTTCCATTCTTTTCACGACAAAAGCACATTCTCTCTGCTTTCACAAAAGGTTCATCGGCTTTGTGTTTTGGATATCCCTTGTTCAATGAGCTGCAGGTCGGTGGCGTCCTCCTTGATGATGTTGATCAGGTGTTGGAGACCCTCCTGCTGCTGCTTCAAGATCTGGAACGTGAGAGACAAAAATCACATGAAAAAGTTGAGCTGAGATTTCTAATAGGAGAGAAAACGAAAAAAAAAGTGAACCTGAGATTTTTACGGTAGTTAATGAGAGAAAACATAAAAATTGAACTCAAGATCAGAGACAATAATCGAAAAAGTTGAGCTGAGATTGTTTGCCATGAGAGAAAACAAAAAATAGTGAACCTGAGATTATTGCGGTAGCTCACAAGAGAAAAAAAACAAGCAAAAGTTTGGTTTAGAACTTCAGCTTGGTGAACGTGCATGTCTGACTGAAGACAGTCAAGGAAGATGCTGTTTTTTCCTTTCCTAAAAAAAGAACCAGGCTTCATTTCTGACACATTTACCATCTCTCTACCTTTTCGGGGACGTAAACTGAGGCACAGTTTAAGGCACTCAAATGTTGCCATCAATATACTTCCATTTACTGATTTGGAAAAACCCATTTGAAGGAAGGAGAACATAAGAAAAAAGGGTACCGAATCTTTGCTGGGGATACAACATATTACCTTGTGAGAATCAACTGAAGACATATATATATGTCTTCCAAAATGTCAAATTTTTGTTTATACACAGTACTCAGTTGAAAGTTTACTGAAAGTAGCATTAAACAGGTTTGGCTCCCTTTGAAGAAGAAATTAGATTCACCCTAACATTTCATCTTGAGAACACACGTGTGTCTGCAGCTGACACTCGCAGCTTCGAGCGACACACTGCTGAGTCTCTTCTCACCTGTTTTATCTCCACTTGTGTCTCTGTGTCCATGTTGTAGCCCTGCTCAGAGCGACCTGACCCCGTCTGGATTTGCATGCGCATCTGAGACATCAGCTCATTCAGTCGGCCCTGAAAGAGAGAGAGTAGGCACAGGAAAAAAATAAGGTGAAAGGGAACATTTGCTGCACAGAAGTTAACACATCTAACTCTTTGTCCTTTTGCTCACTCTAAGACGACACTGATCAAATCAACAAACTTAAATGATCTCGATATACTTCCTGGTCATGTTCAATAGAAATTAAATGTGAATGGTTGGCCGGTGCCCTGATGTGGTTTGCTCATGTCTTTCGTATCAAAGATCCATTGTTCATATCTTTCCTCCTTTTCTTTGTATGTTACCCTCTGGGAGGCATTGCGCTGCCAAGAGCGAAATGCTCGCAGCTAAAGGGATTTGAAAACAACAACAACAACCCTCTGGTACTACTTCTAATATTAGGCATAAAAATAGCCTACATGTGTTTCAAGAGCCATAAAATTCTTACTTTAACTTAACTAAGAAATGAAATATTTCTCAGACACAGACAATTTCATCATTTGAAAGCGTTACATAATAATATACGGGCAACTGAGCGACTCTTGAATAGTGTACAGAGTGGGAGCTGGGAGGATTCGTACCTTGAACTGTGTGGGATGATTGAGCTCGCCTTGTAGCTGCTCCAGCTGTACCTTGAGAGTCTCCTCCTCCACCTGGATGGCGTAGCCCATCTTACGATAGACCTCCTGCTTCACAATCACCTGCCGGGATAGAGAGAGGAAGAGAGAGAGAGAGGGGTCAGTTTCTCTTGGCAGAAGAGAGAGAGAAAGAGAGAGAGAGAGAGAGAGAGAGAGAGAGAGAGAGAGAGAGAGAGAGAGACAGACAGACAGACAGACAGACAGACAGACAGACAGACAGACAGAGAAAGAATGAGAGAGAGAAAGAGAGAGACAGAGAAAGAGAGGGAGAGAGAGAGAGAGAGACAGAAAGAGAGAGAGAAAGACAAAGAGAGTGAGTGAGTCAGTGAGTAAAAAACAGAGAGAGAAAGAGAAAGACAGAGACCGAGAAAGACTGGGCCTGTATAACGTATTAAGACGCCCACCTTGAGCAGCCTATGCCCCAGCTCCAGGTCTTTCCTCTTGCAGTCCTCCAGTTTGGACAGCATGGTGCTGTGTTGAGTCTGCAGGTCCGTCAGATCGCCAGCTATTACCTGTTGCCATGAGAGGAGAACGTATCATTCCTTGTTCGTTTGAATAGAAGGAGGACCAAATCAATGCAAAAACCTTCATTTAGTTCTGGGAAAAAGACAAGACGGACAGACGGACAGACAGACGGACAGACAGACAGACAGAAACCACATAGGGTTGGTAACAAAAGTAGGACCTAACAACAGTGACGCCTTTCGCCTTTGAACTACTGTCAGGTCGCCGGCTATCACCTGTTGGAATAAGAGGGAACTGTTTTGTTTGTTTGAGTAAAGAGAAGCCCATAAACGCTTTAGTTTTAGTAAGAGTTTTATGACGGAACTTGCAGCACAATCAGGTCATATAAAAAATGCTGAAGATTAGAGGAGTTACAAGAAAGGAACAAACACAAAAAAGAAGGACAGTTAAGGATGATAGATGTTTGAGAGGAAAGAAAGAGCAAACCACACCTGAGTATCCATCAACTACACGCACCCATAGATGCAATAGTGGTCATTTAGTACTGGGAAAAAGACAGACAGATGGACAAATAGAAACAATATAGGGTTGGAAACAAAGTAGGACCTAACAACATTTATGCCTTCGAACTACTCACAAAAATGTTTTATGCCCTAATGAACGTAATTTTTAATTATCAAGAGACGAGCTGCTTTAACCCTGCCTGTCAGTCATCGCACACAACAATGTACATGAACCTGGGCTGAATCCCTAATGAGGTATTTTTGAAAAATTTGCATTGGTCGGGGAATGCCCTATTTGAGAAGGGTGGCAAATTGGAGGTCTTGCCTCTCAAATACTACTTTTGTTCTCAGAATAATTCACATCTAAGAACTGCTGGTTGAGTGGAGTGGAGTAAGTGAGAGAGTGAGTGTTGTGTACAGTTGAGTGTGTGTTTGTAAGTGCGTAAATGTGTGGATGAGCATCTCCTAAGAGAGAGCTCACATCCAAGCGCTGTTGGTAGATTGAGTGAGCGAGTGTGAGATGTGTGTATCATGTATGTGTGCCCGTGTTAGTGGATGCACATTACACATCTCCGCAGAGAGAGAACTCATATCTAATAATTTGCTGCTGGTAGATTGAGTGAGTGAGTGTGAGTTGTGTGTATCATGTATGTGTGCCTGTGTCAGTGGATGAGAGTTACACATTTCCGCAGAGAGAAGTCACATCCAAGCGCTGCTGGTAGGTGTGTGTGTGTGTGTGTGTGTGTGTGTGTGTGTGTGTGTGGTGTGTGTGTATCTATGTGCTTTTGTGCGAGTGTACGGCTGAGTGAGTGTTGCACATCTCCGCAGAGAGAACTCACATCCAAGCGCTGCTGGTAGAGTTTGGTCTGCTCCGCCTGGTGCCTGAGCCTCCTCTGCAGTTCCTTGAAGCCGATCATCGGCACCGGGATGTACTTCTCTGGGTCTGGGTTGTCCAGCTTGGCCTGTTCCCACAAGAGAGGATCCACACCTGGAGGGGGGGGGGGGAGAGAGTTAATTTTATTACGTGTTTTACGGCACTTACAACACAATGAGGTCATATAAGTGCCGAAGATTAGAGGTGTTACAAAAGGGTAACAAACACAAAAAGAAGGAGGGGAGACAAGAACGATAGATGTTTGATAAGAAATAAGAAACAAACCACACCAGAGCACCCGCCAACCACCAACTGGGGGAGGGGGGGGGAGAGAGATTGGTAATCTCGGAGTGAAGGTTTACATCGGGTCAGCAAGATAAAATCCACATTTTGTCAATGACAGAGTAGAGCATGATAACAGGTAGAAGGAGCAGGCGATGTCAGAACGAGGAATAGAACAAAACACAAGACATGATGCTAAATACAAATTACAAAGAAAATAAACAGGCTGTCTTTCAAGAAAGAAAAGGTTAGAAAAAAGTGCATTTTAAGTTAGAAAATATGACCAGAAAAAGTAAAAACCACCCCCACGTCCCCAAAAGGAAAAAAAACCAAAACAATATATATAAATAACACCAAAATTCCAGGAGAGTTCTGTAATTCTGAAGAAGTGGTGCCCCTTTAGAAGACAACCACAATTTGTTCCTACCAGATGGCGCTTTGTCCAAATATTCTTTCAGCTGCTCATCACTCCATCCCACTTTGGGCAAGATACTCTCCACATTCAACTGACTCGAGACTTGTGTCTTCTGTGTGGGCTGGTTCAAGAAGTTGAACAAGTCACTGGCAGGAACCCGCTTGGCGGGTCCCGTCGCTGGTCGCTCCAACACATAGATGACAATCTCTGTCCTATAGAAGAGATTCAGGGAGGGGGTGAGGTTAGACTTATAAATCAGAAGGTACCCATAAAGAGTAGACATGATACTTTGCAATGCATACCAAGTCTTGCTCGATATGAGTACAATCATACAAAATAGGTACAAACCAGAGAATATATATACAATATGAATTTTCATTCCAAAAACCTTACCACCGTTCTTTGTGTAAAATCTTAAAATATTGACAACATAAGAAAAGGTAAAATAAGAACAACTCAAGAATCTAAATATACAATAATACCAAAGATAGTACATAACAAGATGGTCCACTCAGCCAAAAAAGTGTCCGCAGGAAGTTCGCTCTTTGCTTCAGATGGCGCTGCAGTCTGTTTTGAAGCTCTCTTTTGTTTTTCCAGAAGAAGAATAGGAATAGCACCTCCTTGCGTGCGCAGATCGACTGCTGTTCATCAGCAGTTCGGGTTCGTTCAGTGCGGAGTTTTAGGTTTATTTTATTTTAATAACCTCTCGCCTTTCATTTTAAAGTCAAATTAAACGAAAAAAACAATCACCCTTTCCTCCGGAAGAGGTTTTTTTGTCAGCGTAACCATTTTTAAAAAAGCGTTCTTCCGAAATTTATTTAAAAACTTGCTAGTTTCACTTTGATTTTTTAAACTCAAGTAGGGTAACTCTGTTCGCAAAGGGTGCCCATTTGTGAAGAGGGCGCCACCGAATTTTGAGGACACTTTTTTAATTGGCTCAAAGAGAGAAGTGGCCCCTCTTGTTATGTAGACTCTTTGATAATACATAGTTGAAATTGTCCAAGACTGCTATCCAGTGTCCAGGAGAAAGGTGGCTATCTTAGACTGATAGATGTCTTGAACAATGTTATTATAATACAGAAAAAAAACGCAAGTGGGGAAGTGGTGGTTTGTTCAGGTGATTGCCCTGAAGAGGAGGCCGCTGGAACAGGTTTGCCCCCAGTATGAAATCAGTTCACAAGACGTCTGTGCAGACAGACCTATGAAGATTTCACTTGCGTTAAAATCAGACCTGAGGCTGACATTTTCAACCTGTGTAAGTGTAAGGCTAGTGGTGGTAGTGGTTGTGGTGGTGGAGGGACGTAGGCATTTGAACTGGAAGGTACAGTCGGATTTGTTGAAGATGACCACCCAATGTCCTCTTGGGCAGTGCTCAAACACTAACAAACTGACAAGATCTTTTGCTGTCTACAGCCGGGTACCCATTCCCACCTGGGTGAAGATAGGAAAATTCGTGTAAAGTGCCTTTCCCAAGGACACAACGTCGGGTCCCTGACGGGATTCGAACCCACGACCTTATGGTTGTGAGTCCGAGAGCCTAACCACTAGGCCACCGACGCCGAGTAAAGAGAAGCCCATCAACACAATAAATAATAATCATTTAGTGCTGGGAAAAAATAAGACAAACAGTCAAACAGAAACAACAGAGGGAAAATAAAGCTGTAGGACCTACCAGTGGCGCCCTCCAACCACCTGCAGGGTCATTATTATGGAAAACACACAAGAAAGGAAGTGGGATGAGATTGTTTGTACACGTAGATTGTCTTGGACAGGTAGTCATTTCAGCAGGTTTGACTATCATTTCTATATATTTCATAAACTGTTTAAAGTAAAACTTTGCACAAGTATTGAACTTGGAGTGAAGAAGCAATTTACTCTATTGTGATTCGCCTTTAATTAAACCAACATTAAAAACAAGCATCTGATTGTGCAGTACTGTCTCAAACAGTTGTAACCAGTCATTGATTCTCATAATTCAAACGCAACAATCAAGCATTTTGCAGTTCAGGAGACCTTGGAACAAAACTGTATAACACGGATAGCTCCAATTCGTCGGGACCAGCCTCGGTAGTTCGAGGGATATCTTACAAAGATAAAGGAAAAAAAACCAAAACGGGGGACCGCATGCACAGATCGACGGTAGCGTGATTTCGAGTCTTCTGTGTTCAACCTATCCGTGTTACACGGTATGTAAAATGTCAGAAAGTAGTTTTTCTTTATACTTATTTCATATTATGTAAAATACTGTTCAAAGGGGAACTAATAATAACAGAATTGCAATTTTTTCCCCAATGATACCAGATGCTCGTGTGAAAAACAGTGGTGCATTATGTGTGGCAGTGCTCAAGGTATTAAGAAAAGATTTTTTCTTTTTAATTAGTCACTACCGAGAAATAGCTACACTATTCTTTTTACTCAGAACTTCCTCAACACACCATAAAGAAATTAAAAACTAAAGTCAACCCGAACCCACCTGTCCTCTGGCATGGATTTGACCCCTTCCACACAGATATTAAGGGTGGGCTTGCTGCCCAGTATCTTGTGCAGGGTATCCACAATCTGCTGCTGGGCCGCTAAAACATCCGTCTCCTTCTTGGCAAGTACCAGCGCCACCTGGCCTGCCTCGTTGTTCCCCTTAGGAATCAGATGATAGCCTAAAGCCTGGACAACATAAAGAAAAAAAATGTTAGCTTACTTCAGCTTTATTTAGCATGAACGTTATGGCGCTTGCAACATAAAATGATTATATAAGAGCTAAAGATCAGAGAGTAACATAGAATAGAAGGAGGAGAGAAAAAGATGCCAAATGTAATACAGGAAAGGAAGAGCAAACCACACCAGACCAACTACTAACCACCCACAAAACAATGGTAAGAAGGCCCACAGCAATTTTCTAAACCCACAAACACAACGCAGTATCTTTATCTGAAAAAGAGGAAAGAAACAAAGGACAAGTTCCAAAAATAGAAAAATATAACGCAAAAGAAGATTAAAGAGAGAAACCATGCCCCAAACCCAACATTACCAAAAAGGAGCATATTTTACTTCATCGATAAACACTGAAAAAGGAGAAGAACAAGAAGAAAACAGACCTCTAAAACGGGTGCTTCACTCATGAAGCCAATTTTATCGACATGAAAGAGACTTTTTTGTCAAACTCTGTGCATTTTACACAAACTTTTCCATGGATCAGAACCAATAACACCAACAGCTTACACAAAATTTAATATATTAGATCCTTAAAATCTTAACCAAAACATTTACATGTAATAGACATATTTACCTTAAATCGACAAAAATGATTTTCTGGCTTGAACTCCACCACTCCATTTGAAGAATAAAACCCTTTTCCGGTTCCCCAATAAGCTTGCAACTGATTCCATTTGGCGATGATTGCGTCCCTTTCATCTCCATAGATCTGTGGCAGAGACACAGCCATTGCTGTGGCGGTCAAGTTTGCTTCCTCGCTGGGCACAGCATTTTGAGCATTTGCTGAAAAAAAAAAATACAGGAAGTTTAATTATTTGAACCGGGCGTTTGGTTTTGCTGTAATTTGAGATGGGTGACCAGTGGAAAATTTTTTTCTTTACATCACTGACCGATATGGGATTGTACAAGATATTTGCAAGAGATAACACATAAAGATATATAAATCTATCGATAATTTATAAAAGTGAGAAACATAAAACTTTCCTCATCAGCCTCATCTTCCTAGTGCTTAAAGAAACCTTCGTACAAGGGAACCAAAATTCATACGTAGAACATTCGTTCTGCAGAAACATCTGGTGTGTGCCAAGCATCACATTCTACAGAATTAATATAATTTGTTTTAAATTTTTCTTTAACTTATTTAGTACTTTCTTTAACACTTTGCCGCCTCATCTCGCCGATTGGCGATGTTTACCACCCAATTTCTTTGGATTTTCCTAAAAATATGATGGCAAAGTGTTAAGGATCCTTTTTTGTGCTCTGTAGCCAATTTTCTACCTACGATACGTACATTATATATATATACACTTCCTCATCTTTTAAAAAAAAATCCACTCAAAAGTCATATATAATATAAGTAAGCACGCAACAAACACACTCACAAATAACACATAAAGAGCTTCTGATCCATTCCTTACCAGCCACTCCACCTGCAGCATTTGGGGCGCCAAAAGTCCCAGCTCCTGTTGCTCCAAAGGTGCTCGCTCCACCAGTGCTTCCAAATCCTCCAAGGGAAAAACCTGAACTTGTTCCTGTAGTTCCAAGCCCACTACCAAAACCTCCAGTTGCAGTCGTCCCGAAACCCCCAAAACCTGCTGGACATGACAACACACACAAAAGAAAAGAAATTTGAGAAACAGGACTGACTGACTGCAAGCTGCTGATGACTCGTACTTTGTACTACCTTACTCTCTTCTCGGCACATGCGGATCACACTATGTTTGACGTGGACGAGCGAGAGAAAACCAAAGCTAATAGAATTGTAAAACATCAAATTATGGTTAAAGGCCTCAGCTATATTCGGGCTCGAGTCTGAATAGCCTCCCGTGGCTATTCCGACTCAAACTCCAATGGGCGTATGCAATCATCGGGTGTAGATCTACCGGCTGCGAAGCGGACAGGCAATTCGACCTTGGCCTTCCTCAGTTTCTATGGCATGGAAGGACTTCGGAAACGAGCGACCACCCCAACAAACATTATATTATGAATAAAGAAAAGACCTAACTCTACCCCAGACCCTCACCCTACCTCAAACCCATCTGTTCTACTGTCTCATAGTGGTCGCTTGTTGGGGAAGTCCTACCCTTTCTATGATCTGGCTAAAATTTTCGACACAAATTAATAGAAGTATTAGTATTAGTGACGTCAAAAGTGAACAAAAGTTGCAAAATCTGAAACACTGCACAACAAAGGCAAACAGGGAAATGGCAATCTGAGCTCAGAGTAGAGAAAAAAACTGAAAACCAAAGTTTCAGAATAACAAAGGGAAGGTAGTTTAAACCCGTTTTATTTGACAAGAAAAACAAAATCATTGATCAGTTAGAAATTAGAAATTAAGAAGAGAAAAGTTAAAACCCTTCCACAGGGAAAGTCAGTCATTCAAAATAACAGAGATCTAAAGGAAAAGCTTTTCCAACAGGATACTTTATAAGGTGCCCTCTGCGGATGGGATCGGGTAGGGTCGGGGGCGATTGTCGTACTGTACTGTCACCTAAAAACAAACGCAGTTGTGTTTGAGTAAGCGAGACGGGCGCGATCGGCTTGTGCCACGATAGCAACTTTGCACCCTCAATCTGACTAACAAACTGCCCCAACCAGACCCGATCCAATGGGCACCCCGTCAAATAAAATCTGGACGAAACAATACATTATTCTGACGGCTCCGTATTCTGATAGAGTTAGGAGAGCAACACGAATTGGAGTTTGAGTCCAAATAGCCACGGGAGACTATTCAGACTCGAGTCCGAATAGCCACTTCAATGGTTAAAAATACAGGGGGCATAGAATTTGAACTGAACAACAGTGCAGCACTCTATCTATCGTTCTCTTTCTAATAAAATTTAAATGATACTGAGGCGAGTAATCAGGTCAATATCATTATTCCAGTACTCTTAGGGTAAAAAACGGAGACTGCCAAAAATATAATATTATTTATCTTTTACCCATGAAATGATAATGATTTGAAAGGCTACCTCTATTCTCACCCCGAGTGAGAATAGCGCAGGCGAGTCTTTTGGCTATTCTCACCCGGTGGGCGCTCACCGTTATTTATAGCCTAGATCTAGGCCAACCAATTTTGCGTTCACCCTGAACCACAGAATTCTACACTCTGATATAATAGAAAAATTGTAGAATTCTGTGCCGTGAACAAACGTTCCGTTACTACTGTTACCCTAAAAGCGTACAATTTTGTCTGTGGGCAGTGGAGAGAGAGAGAGAAAGAGAGAGAGAGAGAGAGAGAGAGGAGTAGCGCGAGAACTTCAGGGCAAAACAAAATGGCAACCTGTGTAGTTCGGCTCGATTCGAAAAGTTAAATAGCCGTAGCATCTTTGTAGATGACCAAATTAATTAACTTTTGTATTTTAACATGGAAGAGGCTAGCCGTACTTGAGACGAAACCAGGTGCCTTAATGACAGTGCATGTATTTTAAACCTCCTGTTTTCTAATGTTAATTGGGCCTAAGATAAGTACGGCTAGACTGGCAGTCTAGCCGTATTTAAGTACGGCTAGATTTCTTGTCTAGCCGTACTTAAGTACGGGTAGACAGCCAGGCTAGCCGTACTTAAGGACGGCTAGACTGTCAGGCTAGCCGTACTTAATATTGATGGCTGAATTGTAAATGAAATTTTTAGTTTGCTATGCCTAAATTATTTGTATTTCAGACAAAACCAAAAGGTGCCTTACTGGCTTGCATGTATTTGAACCTGAATAATTGCTAGATATAGATCTAATGAGACCTGTGTACTCAACAGGCTTGCGTCGATAGGGCCAAACCTAGATCTAAGTACGGCTAGACTGGTAGTCTAGCCGTACTTAAGTACGGCTAGACTCTCAGTCTAGCCGTACCTTTAACCCTGGAAGCGCGCAGGCCCATAAAGGGCGTGAGCCGGGCTACCCGGGAAGCGCGCACGCCCTATATATAAGGCTGACATACTTTGACCGGGAAGTGCGCAGGCCCTATATAAAGGGCATAGACGCGGACCCTTTTCAATGGAAAATTCCAGTGTTCCTTTATAAATATGGAAAATGACGTAGTCAATTTGTAGGCCAAAGTTATAAATAGTGACCAATGACTTTGCAAGTTATCTTGATCTCGTAGAGCGTCTCTTGGCCGAGATATCGATCGATAAAGTGACGCGGTCCCGCTGAGCGACTACACGCTATGTGTTATCACTTGTTTCGCCATGCTGATGTACTAATTGTTGAGTCTATCGCGTTCTTGGCTTTGTTTGTATTTATTTGATCGCTGATCATTTTTGAATGGCTCATTCTATCAGCTTAAAGAAAATATATGCTTTTTATCATCCATTGAGCCGTAAATGGTCATTTTTCAGTAGCAGGTATACATTTCGGGTACCTCAGCTGTTCCCCCCCGGCCAAACCCCCATGTTTACAACTGATCGGCCGTGGCGGCGGGGCATTTTTGGCGGGTTACTTCCGGTGAAACACTGAGCGCTTCTAGGGTTAAAGTACGGCTAGCCACTTCGTTTTAACATCATTTTTTAACTTTGTTTTGGTCAATTTGATCGTCCACACCGATAGACAGTATTCAGAAAGAGACAGAGAGAGAGAAGAGGGGTGGAGTAGATCTTGTGAGAACTTCCGGGCAAAACAAAATGGCGACCCGCATAGTTCGGCTCGATTCGAAAAGTGAAAGCATCTTTGTCGACGATCAAATTAGCTTACTTTTGTGCTATAATTTTTTCTTTGCTTTTAGGAAGTGGCTATCCTCACCCGAGGTGAGAATAAAAATACGATCGACCTCTCACCCCGGGTGAGACTTGCCACCGTAGGCTATTCTCACCCGGTGCCGGTGTGAAACAAGACCTGTTTTTCCAAATTTTGGAATACCTTCTATCGGTGTGGATGATCAAATGGATAAAAGCAAAGAAAAAATTACGTTATAGCACAAAAGTAAGCTAATTTGATCGTCTACAAAGATGCTTTGGCTATTTCACTTTTCGAATCGAGCCGAAAAACGCGGGTCGCAAGATCTATTCCTCCCCTCTTCTCTCTCTCTGTCTCTTTCTGAATACTGTCTATCGGTGTGGACGATCAAATTGACCAAAACAAAGTTAAAAAATGATGTTAAATTAAAACACAAAAAGTAAATTAATTTGGTCGTCTACAAAGATGTTACGGCTATTTAACTTTTCGAATCGAGCCGAACTACGCGGGTCGCCATTTTGTTTTGCCCGAAAGTTCTCGCGCTACTCCTCTCTCTCTCTCTTTGTCCACTGAGCAAAGACAAAATTGTACGCTTTTAGGCTGACAGTAGTAATGGAACGTTTGTTCACGGCACAGAATTCTACAATTTTTCCGTTACCACAGTGCAGAATTCTGCGGTTCAGGGTGAACACAAAATTGGTTGGCCTAGATCTAGGCTCTAACGGTGAACGCACACCGGGTGAGAATAGCCAAAAGACTCGCCTGCGCTATTCTCACCCAGGGTGAGAATAGAGGTGGCCTTGCTTTTATCCTTTTGATCATCCACACCAATAGAAAGTATTCCAAAATTAGGAAAAACAGGTCTTGTTTCACAACCGGGTGAGAATAGCCAACGGTGGCAAGTCTCACCCGGGGTGAAAGGTGAATCGTATTATTCTCACCCCGGGTGAGGATAGCCACTTCCAATGATAATGATAATGTTATTCACGAACCTGCACTTGGAGCTGAAGTGGTTGCAGTACTGAAAGAAAACGGTGATGCAGATGTAGATGTGGTACCAAAACCGCTGAACAATGATGGAGCTGACGTGGTTGCTGTTCCCACACCAAAGCTTCCAAAGCCAGTACTAGCACTTGTGGTGGTGGTTGTGCCAAAAGAACCAAGTGCAAATCCTCCAGTGGTCCCTCCAGTCGTTCCGGCGCTGCCAAAGCCACCAAATCCTGAAGACTGGGTGGTTGGTGTTGTGCCAAACAAAGATGGTTGTGTTGATGTAGATGTAGTACCAAATTTGAACGACATGATTAACAGAAGAATAAGAGTTAAAAAATTTGGCTGTCAGGAGATATTTTCACACTGGTTGCAGCCAGATTCTTCTGCTATCCACAACACAACAAACACTGGGGTCTTTGCCTTGTGCGCTTTCTTCGTCAATTGTCAATTACTAAATTTAAAAAGTCTTGAGTGCAAGCGCAAGCAGTATAAAATAGATCTACTTTTTGACAAATTCTAAATACCCATCTTCACTGACTCTTTAAAGAAGTGTCAACAGTTTTCCTTTTTGGCCATTCCAGTTTACTATCAAGATCTATTTTTAATAAAATGATTATAAATTATTACAGATGTATAGCTTTAAAAACATTGAATTCAATAAAATTTGCTGTAAAGGAATATCATTCACCCCTTTGAATTATGTATTAGGAACTCGACATCTAGTATGATCTAGTCTAGTAAAAGGCCAGGAGCAACTCTTTTATTTCTAGAGAGCACATTGCACAACACAAACACTACAACACTCATTGGATTCTAACATTCTCGCGTCGGTCTCAGACCAAAACATTACAATTTTATTGTACTGATTCGGCAAATTGATCTAAGTCATGACGGATAATCAAGGTGTCAGTGCATTCCCTATGCCTCCAATGCAATATGTCAACAACTATAGTGACGATAACATAAAAAGAGGGAAAGCACCACAGCCTCCAACTCCCATTCAGGTAAGCCAACAAATTTCTCTTTCTATTTGAATTTGCGGCTCTGCGTCTACACGAGACACGAGTTGATGGAGTACAACATTGTCAATAACTAAGAGTAATTTTTGTAAGTAGGTGTTTTACGCCCCCATTGACACTGTTTAGATACTTTAGGAGCCGGGCTGCTTCGACCTTACCTGTCACTGTCGTCAGGGCACATGCGATTATTAAACGTAGGAAGACGGAAACTATTTTTAGGTAAGGCGCCCATCTTGTTTGACGTCAAACCAGGATACCCCTCCGATCACGTGACCATTTCTAAATATAGCCAACCGCATGGCACGGAAGTGTCTTATATTATGCTTAATCTAGCCTATACCTCTCTCTCGGAAGTTCTGATGGCAGAACAGTATGCGCGTCTGCGTTTGAAGTCGTGAAATCATTTTTGGAGCGGTTCGATCCCGGTTTTTTTTTCCTCTTCTCCTCCTCCCGACTGACCAACAGTCCCATAAATGATAGAATCTAGGTCTAGGCCTAATTTGTAGAGTTGCTTTGCAGTTGTTGGGTTTTTTTTAAATATTAGAGATTAAAAATGCAGGAGATGGGGGGGGGGGGGGGGGGGTAGATCATTTGGTGCTTTTTCGGTAGTTCCCACCCCCCTTTTTGAGCCTGACCTACATCTAGATTCTAGATCTATGAGTTTGATTCGCGGTGAGCTAAGATATCAAACCTCCTAACAACAGCAAAACATTAAATTGTTGTAAAATTCAGGGGGGCATGCCCCCCCTGAAACCCCCCTTCCTATTTTTGTTAGGTCAGGGGGGCAAGCCCCCTGAAACCCCCCTACTCTTGGGGCCAAAACCCATGAATAACAATTGCAGGGTGGGAACTACCGAAAAAGCGCCGATCATTTAGATCTAGATCTAATCACCCTGCGTCTTTACGGCAATTTTCGTGCGGTCTTCCATCATGTCCAAGTAGGCCTACCATAATCTATCTAGATTCTAGATCTAGAATCTAGAATCGAGATCTACGAAATCCGAAATGTTCCGAAAACATGTCGTTCCATGTGGGTATTCCAGGAAGTGATGACATCACAGTACTAAAATTAGCAGCCAATCAGAAAGATGCGTCTTTTCTACGTTTAACGGCACGTAGTCAGGGCTAACCTTTGCTGAGAGAGATACAATATCCAGGCAGACAGGACAGGAGACGGCCAGACGGATAGGCTATTACCACTACAACTACAACTCGATGGGGAGTCGATTTAAACTTCCCATCATGGGCATGGGCATTCAGTTAGCGTCTTCTGCATGTGTGACAATGAAATGCCTAACCACAAAGTCAAAGTTACCATGTCAAATTCTGATCGCTTTGGACCTTGGAAGGTAAGAGAACGTTAGGCTCCAAAAAGTTAAAAACCACAGTCAGTGCAGTGGAGTTCGCTTTTGTTAAACCAAACACAGTACAGTTTTAATGCAATGTGATCCAGTCAGTACATCGTCACTGTGATCTTGTTTAGAAAGTGTCAACAATCCTACCTTATTATTTAGGCAATTTTAGGTCTTTAGCATTCTCAGTTCATCCACTGTGTCAAATAACACTTGTTACTTACTTGCAACATGAGTGTTGTGTTCATGTTCTTATTTTTAATTTTCAGTTTTGATATTAAATCTCAACTGTCATGGGTAACTTAATAAAATCTAGTCTTAATATTTCTTTTATTTTATAAAATGGCTGCTTATGGCTTGTTGTGTTCTTTTGAAGCACCCTTTTGTATACACATTACTTGCTCAGTGCCTTGTAATTATCTGCTACACAAAACCTCATGTATGTTTGCTATAAACAAACACTCGGATTCAACAAGGTTTTAGGTCTGGCCCAAGTTGAATCTGATTTCCAATGTACCTGCAGACTTACAAAGTTCCTGCTTTCAAGGAAAATTGGCAGGTCTGTGTACGTGAAACAGGACGCTGAAGAAAAAAAGGCCGTTGAATTATTATAATTATAATTAATGGTGAAATTCTCATTTGATTATCTTTTCTTTTGATTTTGATGATGTGGAGAAAAGTTAAAGTTAGATTGTTGAACAATAATGAGAATTACTTTTTTTTATTGTCAGGACTCCTACTCCATGTTTGGGGCTCAGTACTCAGCTGATGATGCGATTATTCGACCCTTGGAAGCCTCCGGGTGCCGCAGACTGTATCCTCACAACTACGATCACAAGCGGGAGCTCAAGAAGTTGAACCATTCCATACTGGTCAGTGGCTGGATGATCTTTTGGCCATCGAAACATTTGAAATGGAGATACAGCTTGGTTTTTATAATAATAACATTATGAATGTGTTTTTGACTTTCGGTGAAGTTGCTTGCCTCACATGCCTGGCTGCTTTCACAGTGCATGCATACACAAAAGTAACAATGATATAATATAATAACAACATTATGGGCAACAGATTTTTTTTCCCACGTTTGTAATGTGACACCCAAAATCCTAGGGCTTGTGAGTTCAAGCTTCTCGTATAGTTCTCTTTTTTTTTTTAGGGACAAAGTTTGTGGGTACATTGTGCACATAAATGAAATTATACTTTGACAGTTGGAAGAAAAAGAGATTTAAAAGCTGCACTAGTGTAAAATTCTGAATGAATTGCTAATTTTGGCAGCTGATACTCTACTAATTGGTCTAAATAATTCAATGTAAAAAAAGAAAACAACCCCTTCTGAAAGATCTAAGGTTCTGAATCATTGCTTGTTTTTTTCCTTCCATAAAAATTCATATATAAAACTCATGAACATTTCAGGTGAATTTCCTGGACCTGCTTGATGTTTTGATAAGAGCACCAGAGTCTCCAAAACGGGCAGAGAAGTTGGAAGACATCAACCTCCTGTTTATCAACATGCACCATCTCATCAATGAATTCAGGTACGAAATGTGTTACATGGATGATGAATTGTATAGGACTTAACAAATTTTGGAAGGGGGGGGGGGGGGGGGGTTATATCAGGAGAGAGGATTTCCTGTTGTTGTACATAAATAATCCAGCTGATCTGATATCATTCCCCTTTGCCCCAGCGTGGTGGAATGGTGAGTGAGGTCAGATGTGTCTTGGTTTAATTGTGGACATCCCTAATAATAGAATAAAGTAAATCTGGTGTAGGAAATAATATCAGCAATTTAACGGTAGAGTATTGGTGACTGTGCACTTCTTGGCTAGTGTTATGTTCTGTTCCTGAAATGTACCTCTCCTACCTGTCATTTTTTCCTCTTCTACTTTCCACTTTCTACATTTTGCATTCTAGCTCCTCACAACTGGCTCTCTACAATCAACTTATTTTTGCTATTTTTAAAAGTTTCATCCTATCCCTGTCCGTACCCGAGACATTTATTAGTATTGCCATTTTCAAAATGTCTAGTTCAATCAATTGAGGCGTACCACTCCAGTTATTCTCAGTATTTTCAAAACATAATGTCCGTGTTCCCCCATCCTCCCTCAGACCACACCAAGCACGAGAGACGCTGCGAGTTATGATGGAACTTCAACGCAATCAGAGGTCAGAGGTAGCACGCAAGTTTCAGGAACACTTTGACAAGGTACGTAAGATGAATGAAAGTTGTGTGTTACCGTGTCACTGGGAGAGATACTTCACAGTTTTTGAAATATACTGATTTTTTTTTTCAGGATGAATTTATGCAAATGATTTCCCTATTGTTGACTTTGCTATTACTATTACTGATATTTGATAATCCTCAGTCAAGTTTAATGTCCATCTCTGGTTTGGCCGTACTATGAGTGAATTTCATGCAAGTAAAGATGATGTGGTCTGTACAGAGATGATTTGCACCTTCTTTTCTTTTTATCACATTGTTGCATTACCCTCTGTGGCGTAGTACTTCATTATCTTCCCCACCTACTGACCTTACTTTTGTTGCACAGTAGTCCGTTTTCAAGCGAGAGCTTTATTCAATTCTCTGGCCCTTTTTTGCTGGGCTGTATTTGATCTGAGAGTTGCTCTTTCTTGTTTCCTGTTCCTGGATTGATTGTTGGGTTGGGTAGACAGACAGAGAGAGGAGTGTGATCTCAAAGTGACCTCTGTCCCACTCATTTGGTCACTCTTCAGCAGAAAAAATGGTTTGAATTGGTTGTATTCTGAGTGAAATTTCATTTGCACAACTGAAATTATATAGAAAAAAAAAAGTCTGAAGTTTGGTCTAAGCTCTGAACTTGATGAATTTGAGATCCATAAATTGAAATTTAAGATTTTCAACTGATAAAAAAAACTGTGTAATCAACGGTTGTGTGTTACTGCAACATCTGCAGGTGATGGACTTGATCCAGACTGCGATGAACTCAATCCCAGAGGATGTTGGGATGGATTCTACCCTGGTCTCCGACTCAGATCTGCTCAACGCTGTGGCTGAGGTGAAGTCGGAGCCCATGGACCTTGAGGCATGTGACAGCCTCGATACTATGATGTGTAAAATTGTGGACGATATGACGTAGGGATGCTAGACATAGTCACGGAGATGTCATACAATTGCTGTAAAACAGAGTTCTTTTGCAAGCATTTTACTTCTGAGAATTTGTAGAGCCAAAATTCATGCAGAAATTTTTTTTTCGGGGGAGGGGGGTGTCCTCAACAAACATTTTACAGGGACAACTGTATTGAGAAATGGTCTTATACGATCTTTGAAAATTAAGCACTTTGAATTGACATGTTGCCCTTGGCAAGATAAAACTGTTATACAGTAATTGGAAATAGTTTGGTTTCAAGAGAAGTTACTGAACAGATTCTCTCATGTATAAATAGTACTAGTGTAAACATTTGCTGCAAGCAGTTAGTGGTTTGATTGTAAGAGTTACCTGAATTGTGCAAATGATTTTGCAAATGTGTAAGCCTGTAGGAGCGTATTTTGAGCATGATTGTGTGCGTTTGTGTTTGTGGGGATGACCGCTTGTGAGTGGGTGCTTGGAATGTTTGTGATTGAGTATTTTGCACAGCTGAGTCTTAGAAAATGTTACGTTTTTTTATGGTACCATACTCAACAAATGCAATGTTTGGTCTTGAATGTTCTCATATTTGTCATTAAAGATGATCAAAAAGACCACAGGACTGTGTTAAACCTATTGTGTAAGCCTGTAGTGGCGTCGGTGGCCTAGTGGTTAGGCTCTTGGACTCGCAACCGTAAGGTCGTGGGTTCGAATCCCGTCAGGGCCCCGACGTTGTGTCCTTGGGAAAGGCACTTTACACAAATTTTCCTCACTTCACCCAGGTGGGAATGGGTACCCGGCTATAGACAGCGAAAGATCTTGTCAGTTTGTTAGTGTTTGAGCGCTTAATCAGCTGCTTGCACTGTATGCTTCCCGGGAAGCTGAGAATGTTTCGGAGTGTTCTATGGTCTGCTGGGGTAATAATATAGTGTACAGCGCATAGAGCCTGCTGTTGAGTGGGGATATGCGCTATACAAATGCTTTTTATTATTATTATTATTATTTAAAAGTATTTTATATTAATAAACTAGACCCCACACATGGATGGGTTATTAGCAACTTGGGGACTGGCACTCAGCAAATATTGAAAGAGTCAGTGCAGCAAATTCACAAGTCACTCTTTGGTGCTGAGCTTAAAAAGCAACGATACATTGAATTTGAAGCAATAGATTTCACATTTCACAAAATTTATTGAAGCTTTTTTTACAGAAAACATTTTCTATGAAGGGGAGGGGGAGAGAAATGGGAATAGAACCTTCGTAAGATAATGAGAATGGGGACAGCATGCAATAATAAGATGAACTTTGCCAGACAATGACATATTTGAAGCATTTTCAAACATTGGTGTTTATTGCACATGAATTTGACTCGAGGAACACAAGCCTGTGACTTTGCAAGATGATGACTGAAGCACAAACTGTTAATCCCATGAGATAATAGATAGAAGCTTCCGGGACTGAAAGCTTTAAATGAACTCGAATTGAGACAGTTTTTTAAGGCAAGATGCCTTCTTCTAAGCAACATTTGGGGGGGGGGGGGGTGAAAATGTTTGTGTTCTGCAGGGAAGGCTTTAGCACGCCCACTTTTTTTTAATAATTCAAATTACAATTGACAACAGTTTGTATTGAATAACACCAAGTCTTATTCTCTACAATCTAACACACACATAGCAAACAGATTTTCAGGTCCCAAATTTTTTATTATGCATGTATATTCTACGTATTTCAGACACATACATAGCAAAATTTGTATGAAATGAAAAGATTTCCATGTCCTGTCAGTTTCGCTATGTGTGTGCTAGACTGTAACTTCCTGTTTTGAATACACATACTCGCATGACAACATGACTTTCAAATGAGGGGTGTTTTCATTTTCATTAGCATGTCAACATGCTCGTGTAAACAACATAATATTTTTTCATAATACCTACATAAACATATCAGTATGACCAAATAGAAGGAATGTGAGCAATGTGAGACTTGAGGTCATATTTGAGCATCCACAGACATCTCTAATCAATTTCCTTTCTGGACACAAAATCTTTTATAATCGGCAAGAACTCTCCCATCTCGGTCTTGTTCCTTACTTCTCTTTCTTACTTCAAATAAGAGTTTTATGGCACTTGCAACACAAATATAGGCAATATAAGTCTGGAAGTTTAAAGATGTTACTTGAGAGTAACATACAAAGAAAAGGAGGAAGAGAGATAAGGACGACAGATGTTCGATCTATGACAGAAGAAACAAACCAAACCTGAACGCCCACCAACCACCCTCTTAGTAGCCTTGTTCAGACTAAGCAAGTTTTCTCTTGTTCTCATAAACGTATAAAAAAAGTAAGTCCCATTCAAGTTAAAAGATATTGAGGATTCTCTGTATCCCGTATCATTTACAAAATCTTCGTGGTTTGGCTTGCCATCACCTGCCCATCAGAACAAAGTAGAAAGTTGGAGGACACCATTGGTAGGACTGACTTCCTCATCATCCCTCTCTTGGTTCTGTCTGACTTTCTTTTCCCATGGCGCTCGTATGACCTTTTGCAGTTGCGAGCGCCGAAAAACTCTACTAAACTAAACTTCTTTTCCAAGTTCTGAATCTGAATGGCCACAACTGTGTTTCTGTGTGCCTTTCTTCTTTCACCATAAATAAAGCAACACAAGTCCTCGTAATACACAAAACAAGCAACGCGTTTCCTGTCGTACAGCTCACAACATAAGTAACACACCTCATATTACACAGCT